TCCTGATTAGCTAACGCGCACTAATTATTGTTATTAGACTTTTTCCCCGAATCGATGTCGATTCCATTATCGTTTCTCACTGGAATATACTGCAACAATATTACTGTGATATACATATTATAACAATATTATATTACCGTAATATATTGAAACAATATTATTGTAATATGTTGCAACAACACTTTTGAGACTTTCACGGGTGTTTTCTTTAGAGGGTTATTAAATTCTCAAAGGGTTTATGGGTTACCGCCGTCTCGTGATCCATTACTAATATCAACGTTTCGTGAACCTTGCCGCTCACTTCATCAAGGCGAGGAGCGCACTGATACTGAACTGCTCCTCCGGAGGACTCCCTTATATAAACTCTGTTAAGGGGTGTTTGGGGAGAGGGAAGGATTAAATCTGTCTAAGATATTAATTTAATTATAATTATTACTTAAGAAAAAAGAACAATTAATAATTATATGACATAAAAATGATATTTTGTATTAATATATCGTCAGGAGTATTACGTTTATTTCATATTATTATTTAATCGATTGATATAGAACAATAGAAAGATAATGATCTTAAATCGATATTATGATGATGATACTTATTAGTAATTACTTAGATAATCATCATGATTACATTGGGAAGAATTTTGTATATATTAGTACGAACATGCTTAGTATTTTGACGTAAAAATGAAGTATGCTTGCTATCTAAAGTGAAGCACGTAATTTACGCATTTCTATCAACGCGGGCTTATATCAAGTAGAGTAATACTATATTTTTAAAGAATACTTTTAAAGTATTACTATCTGTGCATTATTTAGTTTTAATAATTCGTAATTGTATTTTCTTCTCTAATTTTTCAGACGTCGAGCCTTGCAAATCAGTGATGGTATTGAGTCTATGGGCAATATTCGATGGGAATTGGCAGGTACATTGTTATTGGTGTGGATAATTTGCTATTTTTGCATCTGGAAAGGTGTCAAGTGGACTGGCAAAGTTGTTTATTTCACATCCCTCTTTCCATACGTATTACTCACTGTTCTTCTGATTCGTGGTATTACACTACCCGGTGCTATGGAAGGCATTCGATTTTATATTAGTCCAAACTTGTCCAAGCTACGGGAATCTGAGGTAATTATTTATTTTCTTTTATTAATTTTTGAAGCTACTTTGTTTTTCTATAAATTATTTTATATATATAGTAGCGTAGTTGGTACTGGATCAGTATTATATCGGTATTCAATTCCCTCTTGAGTTACAATTAATTGTAATTCAAATATAGCATACGGGCAGTATTAAATTAAGAAAGTTTATCAGGGTATTGAAAATATGTTCTATAAAAAAAGGTATCTTTTAATAGCATTCTGATAATATCGTTTGAAATAAAGTAATTTAAGGACATTCTTTAAGAATATTCCAGATTCTGTTTTTGTGATGTATTCATACAAAATAAAATTCGTAGGTATGGATCGATGCAGTGACACAAATCTTTTTTTCGTACGGTCTCGGACTCGGCACCCTGGTGGCTCTCGGTAGTTACAACAAATTCACCAACAACGTTTACAAGGACGCTCTAATCGTTTGCTCGGTTAACTCATCCACTAGCATGTTCGCGGGTTTTGTGATATTCTCGGTAGTTGGTTTTATGGCGCACGAACAGCAGAAACCGGTCGCCGAAGTAGCTGCTTCTGGACCGGGATTGGCCTTCTTGGCTTATCCATCGGCTGTTCTTCAACTGCCGGGTGCTCCCCTTTGGTCATGCCTATTTTTCTTTATGCTGCTGCTCATTGGACTTGACTCCCAATTCTGCACAATGGAAGGCTTCGTTACGGCTATGGTATTCTCTTGAAAAGCACGACAATTTTGTTTTTCATATTTACATTTTCTTATTTGTATCACTTAATAAAGTCATCAAATTTCAAAAACTTATATTTTTAAATATAAGAAATAAAAAAAAATCAATATTAATAGAAGAAATTAAGGAATTTGAATAGATTTGCTTTTTTTCTTAGATTATATCGTTTAAGATTTAAAATATTTAACTTAATTTTCGGTTCTGTGTGTGTGTGTGTGTGTGTGTGTGTGTGTGTGTGTGCAATTTTAAGATTGTTCGATTTTTTTTTCAGGTAGACGAATGGCCGCAGCTGTTACGACGTCGCAAAGAGTTGTTTATCGCCATCGTGTGCGCCTTGTCTTATCTCATCGGATTGTCATGTATTTCTGAAGGTGGCATGTACGTTTTCCAAATCCTTGATTCGTACGCTGTCTCCGGTTTCTGCTTACTCTTTCTTATATTTTTCGAGTGCATATCAATCAGTTGGGCGTTTGGCGTAAATCGATTTTATGACGCCCTTCGCGATATGATCGGATATTATCCCCTTATGTGGTGGAAATTTTGCTGGGTAGTGACTACGCCGATGATTTGCGTTGTAAGTACAATAAGTTTATTTATTGTGTATATCTGAGAAGGATCAAATGATTTGAATCATTTGACCGACTGCTTTCGCCTTGATTATCTTGATTAATGTGCAAACTTTAAATACTTATAATTCAGAAACAATATAAAATTATATACATATATAATATTCGTCATTTAATTTGAATTTAGGGCGTATTTGTCTTCAATCTAGTTCAGTGGACACCTATAAAATATCTAGATTATGAGTACCCGTGGTGGTCGCATGTGTTAGGCTGGTTTACAGCGTTATCTTCCATGCTATGCATACCTGGATACATGGTTTATGCCTGGATGACTACAACAGGCGATAATAGGACAGTAAGTATACATAAATTGGGGAGGAAGTTTATTTAAAATATATTTTATTTAATACAACTATCTCTTTCTTGCAGAAATACAAATTGTTAATTAAGATAGAGGATGATGTCGCGGCTCTACGGACAAAGATGGGTCAACCACCAGTCGAGCTAACGCCCTTATAATCTCGCTTCGATAGGCACAAGCCCGCCTAAATCAATAATACAATTGTTTGCTATCATTTTGTAATTAATTGGTCAATTGCAAAGCATTAATAAGGATTTAAAATAATGAATTCTAATCTTTAAAATCGGGGGAGTGACTTAAACAAATTTTTAAATGAAAATTTTAAAAATTATTTTTTTTATTCGCTTATGAAAGCAAAGTAAAGTTACTTGGAAATAAAAATGGGATGGGAAATAATTCAAATGTTTCCTATATCGATTTTTAATTTTGCTAATTTCTCTTAATATTCGTTTTTTTTTATATATAGGATATTGTGCTAACGGTTACTGTAAAAGAACACTCATGGCTGCGATAAGTCGTCGATATATAGTGTTCTTCATTCAAAACACGATTTGACGCGAAGCGGAGAGCCAGCAATTAAATAAACGCCGGAAATGAACACACCCGACACTGCCCTCGGTTCCCCTCTTTTCACCCAGTCGATAAAAAGCTTCGCTGGCTTTGTACATAAATTATTTATTTGTCATCGTGTAACTATCATAACTGCCGCAGAATAGGTGACACAGAAAATCGCAACATCCACGACATTCTGGCTGAATTGTCGAATTCATCTTAGGATTAAATGCAATATATCGGAATGAATATTCGATTGCATCATCATTGCATTCAAGCTATTTAAAACTTAATTTATTGGATTAATTTATATTCTAAAATAATATCCTGTTTGTGTACAAGATACCAAGTATTCTCCTCTCTTTGAAGATAGTTTTAAGGACCTAAGTTACACGTGATTTCTTTATAGATAGTTGCCGAATTTATTGCCAGACTATCGCGTGCTCATAACATTCATAGTGAGTGATAATTAAGTTAATTGTTATAGTTAGTGCTAAATGATATCGGTATAACCAGCTCTCACATGATAGCAATACCTGATATCATTCATCAAATTTATATCTAATAGCCGTATGCACGTTCGCATTTATTTTTACACCTATATTTTAGCATCAATTTAATGCCGTAATTAGCGAACAAAGTGTGGCTACATCTTTCTTTTCGAAGATTGTAATAAATTTCATTATTATTATTATTATTATTATTATTATTTTATTAATATTATTAATTTTCGATTAATATAATGCGGAACTATGCTTCTTCTATGTAACATTATAATCATGAATTATTGTAAGTGACAAATACAACGACATAGTATCCGTAGATATATTTAAAATCTTTATGATTAAATCTTCGCTATTTGCGAATGATTTGTATTAATAACACAGAATTACAAATTTTAACTTTATAATGTTGTCTTGAAAAGAAAAATAATTTCTTAAAGTTTTTGAACCACTATTGAATCTGAATTCGCAAGTAATAATGTTCTATCATAATAGTATAAGAAAGAACAGACTTAGGGCTTAGCAGCATAACGATGACATCATAATTGAGTTGTGAAATGTGAATCGTAGTCGTAGGTCAATGCACAACGTTTTGGTCAACCTATAACTACGATTTATGTTCCACAACTCAATTACGGTCATCTTTATGCTTAGGTCCTAAATGTGCTTAATTAGTCGATATTTCTTTATTTAATGCGACTAAAGCAATATATGCAAAACCTTAAACACAATGAAAGGCAACATCGATAAGAACCTGGGAAAAATTATATATATAAACATATTTATATATATGAATTGTTATATATATGAACATATTTTATATATAATAATTGTATAAAATATGTCAATTTTTTTTTATATAATTATATATAGTTTTATATAATTTTATATAATTATATATGGATCATTTTTTTCTCGGGAATAGCGGTAGGAGTAATATAGAAATAAGCAATAATAAATTATTACCTTCATTACACAACGCCGCGAAAGAAATAAAGGCCAACCAATCAGATAGATTGTAATCTACACTTCCATCTGCTTCGAACGTCTAAAGTTAACAAATTGCGATATTATATCAAAACGTTCAAAATCGCTTTTGATTGAATACTTTTTCAAATTTTCGTCAGCAAATTTGGTAAATATGTTTTATAGTGTTGTAACATTTTTTTAAATTAAAATATTACAGAGAAAATACTTCTGAAACATATTTATATGCATTTCTATATGCATACATTTCTATATGCTACATTTTCACGCAAATTATATTTGGGTAAGATGGAAGATCAATTGATACTTATCTGTACAATGCAAGTAGCTAGAATTGTACATTGTATGGAAGGCAAAAAGAGCAAGCGTTAGAGAAACCGACAATGAGGGGTACGTTCTCCCATAGAGGAGAAACATCCAGAGTATGGCGACTTCTCAACTCTATTTTCGGAATTAAAAAAAGATCTGAATCTCTTCTTCCGATACACAAAAATGGATATTTCTTCATTTTATGAACTGTTTTGACTGATGGGACTGTATTTGAAAAAAAGAAGTATAAGATCATTGACATATCCAAAATAGTATCTCCACAATAACATTGAGATATATTTCCGTTTCAATTATTAAATTTAATTTATTTAATTATTTATCATTTAATTATATTTCAACAATAAGCTAATAATTAATATAATGTATTAATTTGTTACAGATATTTGGCAATCGGAGACCAAAATGCTGTCTATGGCTCTAGCTTACAGAGGCCACTGTTCATATGATTGTTAAAGAAAATGTTTTAATGCCAATCTATATGAAACGTCCGAAAAAAATTGAATGGAAAGAGATCTGTTTAGATTTTTTAAGATTGTATAATTTGCTAAATTGTATTAGAGCGATTGATAGTAAGCACATAACGATTCAGGCATTTCTGAACTCTGAATCTGTATATTTCAATTCTAAGAAGACATTTAGCTTCGTATTGATGCCAGGTATAAATTTACGCTGTTCGCTGTAGATGCATATGGTAACGATAATAATAGAAAAATTTTGTCGAAATTGACCTTCGGAAAAGCAGTGTACGGAGATATATTGAATTTACCAAGAGAGACAAGTTCGTCGCCCAGAAAATGATCAGAAAATACCTTCCTATATTTTGCTAGCGACGAAGCCTTTCAAATGTCTGTTAATGTGACCTTATCACCTTATCATGGGCAGGTTTTAGATGACTTAAAACGTATTTTGAATTATCATTTGTCACCAGAAGAACAATAAAAAATACTTTGGAATTTTTACAGCTAGATGGAGAATATTCCGAAGACCAATCATGCTAATCCTGATATCGTGATAGTAATAAACTTGTGCTAGCAGTATTGTATTTGCACAATTTTTTGAAAACGGAAGATAATCGATGAGCGAGTACCGCAGGAGTAAAAATATTGTTCTCCTCAATTAATAGATAGATCAACGGAATAGAAGAAATAATCTAAGGAGAATGGCGATTACAATTGCAAAGTGATCATATACATAAAATTGGAAATTGCGGAATACATGGAGCTATGAGAGAGGCTTATACAATGCGGAATATTACGTATTTCATGACACTTGCTGGTGAAGTTACATGCAAATACGAATATATACACCAAGGACGACAGCGTGATGTGACATGAAATTGAAAAATTTTTAATATATTATATATTTCACATGAAATAAAAATATTATTAATGATTATAAAATTAATTTTGTTCAAAAATTCAATTTTGGCATCATGATATTTATGTTCTTTTCAAATAAATTTTTTAAAATGTCAGTATTTCAAATTTTTCATACATGAATATACAATATTTATAAATATGTATATATTAGATGTATTTATACGTATATGTAAACATACGTAAATATCCTTCTCCCCGTAAACGTATATAATTATATATTAAATATGTCCAATATGTTCAATATTCATACATCTTTCTTTCTTTTGTAAAATTACTTTTACAAAAACTTTTTAGTATATTAAAAATAATATATTAAAAATAATAATGAGAAACATAAAAAATAGTTAAAAAAATAATTTTCGCTGTTGTCTTTTTTAGAAAAAAATCAAGTTTGAAAAAATGTAAAAGAATTGCTCATACATAAATATATACATATATGTATAGAAACATTTATGATTCTAGCGACATTTATGATTCAAGCGTATTGTGGAATCTGAAATGGAAAAATATAAATAACAATTGCTCAGAGAGAGAGAGAATTGTATTTAATCTGTATAGATTTATTTACATTTTGATAATATAATTACGATGCCACGCAATTTATAAGAATAGTAAATGATAAAGTTCTATGTTAATAAAATCGTCTCGCATCTGCATGTTAGTATACATACTTATATTAATATTTACAATTAAAAAAGCTGTCTTATACATTCCCTGCATATATGTATATACAGCGTTCCTCCTATATACTCGGAACAATAATAACAAACTACAATTACGCTATTAGAACACAATTTCTACACTCTCTGGATAATGTATATTAATTAATAAATCCTCTTTCACATGATCTCAAACAGGAAATATTTCAATTTCTAATTTGTTTTTACTTTATAACTATCTCGAGTTTAAATAAATCAAAATAACAATCAAAACGCAACAATCAAAAATTTCTCACATCGCTATTGTGCTGTCTATTAGATAAATCTTATAAAAAGATTTTTCTTTGTTATTCTTCTTGATTCTTCCTATAATCACGAAGTCAGAAACAATACAAATTATACAAATTTATATAAAATTCTCATGATGAGACCGCGTCAATCTAAAATCTCTATTTTGATTTTTGTACTTCAACGTCGTAAAAATAATGTGTATATCTCTAGATGAGAGAGTGTGAGAGAGAAGAGGAGGCGAGGGAGAGAGGGAGAGAGAGGGGAGGGAGGGAGAGAGAGGAAAAGATGAGGGAGGGAGGAGAGAGAGAGAGAGAGAGAGAGAGAAAGATTGTACGCGACTACTAAAATCACACTAATAACAAAGGATTTAACATGATATTTCTACAATAGAGCATAATTATGTGGCAAACTTATTATCCTTCTATAAATATAATGTATTTAGAGACGCTATTAGTGCTGTCAGTATCATTCTACCTTCATTGTTTATTAGACATAAAACAAGGATGGAATGACACGAATAGCGCTAATAGTATCTCTCCGAACATACCTTGTATTAATCAGGAAATCGTTACTCTCACATTTATTTTATACGCATCAGAACGTTACACAAAAAAATTATTCATCCTATACTTCAACTTTTAGTGCAAATCCGTAGTGAAAAGAAAAGAATGTATTGGTCAAACGCCATTAGGGGTTGGCGTACTATGAATCGGTGCCCGTAATAAATCGTGATATTGTAACAGAGCCTCTCGCAAGGACCTAGATACTTGACCAGAAGTAGTCGCAATCGTGCATTCTACTAAGCATGGATATAATCCAATCAGCTGCTCCCATACTGATCTTTCAACTGAAGTGTAAACAATGATTTAATAATACGTTAAATATCTATAAATGCGATATTATCTTATATAAAATAAATATGAAATAAAAATGTACCTTTATTGGGAGGTGCTTTTTTGAGCGATATTACGAGAGTGGCAACGGCTTTCAGAACAAATGATATTTCCGACAACCTGTACCTAGAAAAGTTCTCTATAATAAGTACTTAAAATAAAACGTGCATTTCGGATAAAATATTTATCGAAGTGAAAGATCCACTGAAATAACATTAAATTATTTACAATTTGTTAAAAGGCATCGACACTATTACCTAGGTAAGGGGCACTTTCCATTCCGTCTCTCGCTCTCAATATAACGTCGTAGAACTTCTTGAAATCTATGCAGAAGAGCTGTAACTGCCAAACGTCCAGCAATTCCACCTTCGTCACTTTCCGAACTCTTTTTAGGACTATTTTCCGTATCATTGTCCAATCCATCTAACAGAGAAAATTGCAACAAAGTCTCAAAGCAAGTTTTCGCGAATTCTTCCCGTAACTTTGTTTCTGCTCCATTTTCTATGGAAAAAAAAAGATAATAGCCTCTCTTGAAGAAATATTTAATACAAGAAGAGTTTTTGTAAAAAGTTTAGATATTATATGTACCGATATTTGCTGTAGTGGCCGAATGTATAGAACCTTTATTTAATAACATAACGACTCTTAGTATAAATTGATGAGGTATATGCTGAGAATGCGGTAATACTTCGTCTCTCAACAACTCCATAACCTGACAATCTACCGCCTCATCAGCCTGAATCTCTTCCACTCCTCGTTCTACATTCAGTACACTGAAATTGACCGACCAAATTCATTTCTTATGTTGTCGAAATAATAAAATAAAGAATCCGCTGTTGACTTATCAGAGACAACAATTTACCTTTTAGGAAACAAGAAATCGTCCAGAGTGCTCGCGAGCTCAAGCCACATGCTCTGAAATTGCTCGGAATATTTTCTGGCAAGCGGCAGTCCAGTGTGCAAGACGGCTAAGAGACTAGTCACGGCCAGTTTCCATGTGGTCGCGGATGGGCATGCGTATTTCATGGCTAAAGGTACGTGTAATGCTTCTATAATGTATTTCAACACTTGACCATCGATTACGGCCATTTCATGCGCAGTCTTCTGGTATAAATTCACTACCATCGACAGAGCTTTCTCGCCAAATGGAACGTAATTCATCGTGATCCAATCAGCGGACACACCTCTTACCTGAGATATGTGTTTTGTGGGTATTTTACCATATGTTGGGGCTTCGCACGCCAGCTTCGAGAAGCTTAGCAACTGAAGAAATATCAGTACAATCATCGTGCGTAAATTGTCAGGACCGTTTAACGCTTCTTTTTGCAGAAGCTCCATAGAATGTAACACTTCGTCTTGTAAATGAGTGAGAACTACATCGGGCATTGATGGCAAGATGTACGGCGTTGATTCGCCATGTACTGGAACAGCCACTGCATTCTTCAGGACAATACATAATTTTTGCAGATCAGGACCAATAAACTTGTTTCTAATGTGCTGAAAAACGCCTGGGAATATATGCATGAGCGCAGTTAGGAATGCCTGGGATGGCACGTAAGGATCAGTGTCACCTTCTTGTGGTGGTGCAGTACTCTCCATTCCAATATTGAGCCATACGCGCCACGTCACTGTCCATAAGCCTTCCGAATCGTTTGACTGGATCACTTCAGTGTTATCGCTTCCCTTCGGTTGAAAGAGAATCTCTTGAAATGATTTCAGTGCCGCTAATGATACCTCATTGTTTTTACTAAGCGCAGAATTTTCGATAAATTCGAGGAGCAATGACCATGCTCTTGGAAAGTCTCCTAACATTTGCAACAGTTGACGTTTCGTATTAAATACTCTAGCTACACCGCTTAACGTTAAAACCTGCGTTTCCGCCCATTGCTTTTGTGCTGTATTTCTACTGTGATGAATAAGTATGTTTCCACTGGTATCGACTTTTTCGCTGCTAGCTGAATTTGATAAGCTTCTTACTTTATCTAATAGTGGAAATAATACTTGCCAGAGCACAGCTTGCCACGTAGGTTGATGCAGAAGGCTACCGTGTGCAGATATAGTTGAGAATAGGGTTTGACTCGCTGATTTGCGTACAGCGGGTCGCGAATCGACGCATAAATCTCCTAATCTTGCATAGAGACACATCCAGAGTTTATCAAATGATGGCATGTTTGTCGTACCAGGAAAATCGGGAAATACCGATGACGAATCTCCACGCAAGCAAATACACAATTTCTCTTGGTTCTGATAGAAATAGTCACTTATATTCCACATTAGACCGACAGCTGTGAGCGAAATATTTAATTCTTGTGTCTGCGATCCAAATTTAGCGGCTGTATCGACGCATAGTGGAAGACATCGCCAAGGCATAACCGGTAAAAAATCGGTTACAACCAACTGTAAACATTGAAAAGCTATACGCACTAAAGCTTCCCCATGATGATCGGAAACTGCTCCTATAATACCGAGGACTAAGGGCCAACCATGGTATAATGTCTCCCCAGCACCATGAAGTACTTGCAAAACGCATTCTAACTGTCGCTGTCTAACGTCTCCATGACGTACGGATGATAACTCGGACAATGGTCCTAACAGTAATGTTTGTAACTTCTGATTATCGCGAAGCGGTTGCGGGTATTTATGCTGAAGAGCCATTTTGACAAGATACGTAATTGCTTCCACGCCCCATTCTCTCATACGAATATGCGGATGCTGACATACTTCCAATAAATGATTTGTTAATGGTCTCCAAAGCACTTCCACACGGGATAAGTTTACTAAGCCTGTTTCTAGAAGTTTAGCAACCGCAAATAGGGAAGGTTCACGATTAGAATATGCCAGTTCCATAGCCTCATGGCTCAGTTTACACAGAGCGTCTATCAAATGATGCAAGGCAACGTCATCAAGGTGCTGACTGCTCTCGAATAATCTACTAAGCATAGCGCTGAGTACAGGTAGATCTGCCATAACCGCGTTTGTTAAAACGGCGTTTGGATCAGCTGCGGTTCTTCCAGCTTTCAATGATCCGCCAGTAGAAGGTTTTAAACCAAGTATCCAAACAAGATGTTGAAGAGTAGTAAGTACCAAATGCCATGCGCTACCAAGTATACTACCGTGACAATGGGCTAATGATAATAATGCTCGCATGCATTGCAAATTTTTCGCAGTCAACATGACGGGACCTTGATGAGCACCTGGATATAATTAATATGATAAAAGATTAATCACATAATAGTAAGATGTATGTAATTAATTATGAGTGAATTACTGTCTTACCAATTGGTAAAGATGCCGTTGGTAGTGGCGTACCAACGGCTACTACTTGTTGCCTATAATCAGGCTCGCCTATTGTCAAGTTGTATTGAGTGGAATCTTGCTGTCTCGCGATTGGTATGCCTTGAGGTGCATTATACAGTACAGTCAAGGCATAATTAGGTGGTAGAGATGCTTTACATATTGCAGTAATAAAAGCATCGCGTGGCGCTTGCAAATCTAATTGACCGCAAAGAGATGCGAAAGTTTGAATTGCTTTTAAAACATTTTCTGTTGCCGATTCGTCCGTGCTGCAAATTCACAGATACGTTTGTATTCACTCCATATTTTTTGTCTATTACATACAATAATAATTTATGACTGCTGGCATCTATTAACCTGGCATCTATTAACGGGCTGAGAGCTGCCAATAAACCGCACCAACTAGAGTTCAGTAATTGTACATGAAGCTTTTGTTCGGATTCACTCGGCTGATAGATCTGATTTTCGTTATTATCGTCTTTTAATCCATTTATAGCCAATGCGATCGATCTTATGATGTCTAATAAACATGCATAAGCTATGCTGATACCATAACCGATCGGTATTTGTGGCGGTTCGACCTTGTCCAACATTTCCAAACTGGAATAATCATTTGTTATCATCAATCTTTAATGCCATTATCATGAAAAAAAAATATAAAGTCACTATTAGTTATTACCAATCATACTCTTTTAAGAATACATATTCTTTTCGAGATCGGAAAACAGTATACTCTTATTTTTCACTTATACTCTTTTTGGAGAAATAAGACAAATAATTTAAAAAATTATTTAATATTTAAATTTATTATTTTAAAAAAGTTATGCTTGGCTTGTACAAAGGTTGTGATCCGCCAATTTAAAAATATAGACAATTCTTTTCTCATGTAATAGTATTTGACAAATAACATTATTTTAAAGAAAATTAATATTTTTTAATATTTTAAAATGTTTATTCTATCATTTCTTTAATAGCGAATACTAATTACGATTATTTGTAATATAGGTTTGTATTCAATATCACAAATGATTCCATATTGTTACAATATAAAATAATCATGAACATAGATTAATAATTTTTTCATATTTAATTAAAATTTATTATATTATCTGATTAATTTGCATATATTATATTTAAAATGTAAGAGTTACATTTTCAAAAAAGAAATCTTTAAATCAATTAAATAGTTACAAAATTTATTAAACTTTGTATTTTTCTATCACGATAATCCGTAGTGAACCTAACATTGATATGATTAACATTATAATGCTTACTAAGTTGGCTTAGCTTGTCCGCTTGTAAATGTTGCTACTACTGGTAACCAAATACCGCGTGAATAAAAACCGGGTTGAGGCGATACGCCAGGCCTGTTACAAACAAAGAATTGTATGCATCCCAGAAAAATATATACACATTTTGAATATGATAATAAAAATGTACTTTGCCATAAATTTGAAACAAAAACCTATTAAAAGTACAACAGATAACACATTAATTTTATAATCATTCAAGACGTAATGTAATATATTTGTACCTGTCTGACTCATCATGTGTGGATTTACAAAAAGGCTATGTACATATGCACCTAAGCTATTAACAATATCTTGAAAAATATTTGTAGCATGTGGTTTCAAATCGTAACATTCGCAGAAATTTGTCAGCAAATCTGCTTGAACTGTCATTTTGTGCAAAACTTCCAATGCTAAAGCTCTTTGCCACGTAGGTTTGTCAGGATCCAGAAACTTTACAATTAAGGATAAAAATATTTCACATTCTGTTACCTAAAATAACAGAGTGTCACTTATGCTGATAAATTCATATAAATCATTATCACACATGTACAAATTCCGATATATTTACCAATAAAGAATGGTATTTCTGTATTAAAATCGACACAACTCGCAATAGCCTCATACTAATAGGAAAATAAGGTTTATCTAAAGGTGTAGCTTGTTGCAAAGACGCTGGTACTGAATTACGATACTTGATGTTAGGCGAAAACAATTTTATCACAAGTGCACATACTCTCTCCTTCAATAAGAAGCTAAATTCTAAATGCTAAAAAATTATATTTTTATAAGATATAATTCTTATATATAATAAATAAATAAAATAAAAAGATCCTGTTAAAATATAATTTTTCTATTCTTAAAAATTTTCTCATTTACTTTAAAGAAAACTGATGAAAAATTTGTTAAAACCGACTCTAGCAATTCCAAACCAAAAGTTCTTGTCATTTCAGTGATGCCTATTAGCCAATATGGTTGATCAGCATTCACCAATTGTACTAGATCCTAAAACCAAATGTAAATAATGTACACAAATATATACAATTTACACAAAGAAGTAAATTATAATTATATCTTATAAAGTTACATAATTATACAAATATTATAGTAAAAAACAAAACACCTGAAACATTAAATATGCATCTGCAGCGCAAGGACCAAGACCTTTAGGCGCTTGATTCGTTGGAATTTTCAATTCCTCTAAATTTACTTCATCAGATTCTGGCTGATCAGAACTTTGCTCATTTTCGGCAATTACTCTTTCAAATACCAAAGACACTAGTTGTCTTACAGTAGCACCGGCTGTATTTATCGTTGTACAATCTTTTGTGAAATGTAACCGAAAACAAAGCACCAAATTCTGGAAAGATGTAATTTTGAGTAAAGTATAATAAAAATATTATTGAAAAAAGTGATAAAAAATAAAATTTATATATAAATGGATTCTTACTCTTGCCAGAGTATCTCCATGTACCACGGCATTACTTGTAAGTAATAATGTTACAGTTTGCAAAACTTTAACTTCTTCTGTACCTGATTCCATTAACAACCACAAAGCATCTGTAATATATCGGGCACCTTTCTGATCTACTGCTTGTTGCGTTATTAACCTTTGCATCATGCTTAGGCAAAACTAGAAAATACCATAAAGATTTATATAACACACATTACAAGATTTTTTTACTAAAGATAATGTGTAAACATTGTTTTTAATACCTTGATGATTTTTATGTCCTTACTCTCACAACCTTGAACTATAGGATAAAGTATTTGATTTACAATATAGTATATTGGTGTCCCTGGGTTATTTGAGGCTGTTCTTAATTTTGCGATTCCTTCCTCACATGACTGTAACAAATACATATTATAATATAGTCGCTATAAATTTAAAAAGCGAGGATGTATTGTCCCAAATGAGACATTCCTCTGAGCTGAAACTTTACAGGTAATATTCACTGTTAAAAATTTCATGAAATATAATATACCTTTAAATTACACAATTTGAATTTAATTTCATGACATTATGTTAAATTTAATGTATTTATAACTGAAAAGTATATATTTGCGTGTACATGAAATATTTCTTATAAAAATTTATAAAATTTAATGTACACGTTCATTATATTTAAATAACTACTGTAATTTAATTTTCAATTAAATCATTCATTACTTTTAATTTCGTTCATAATTATGAGCTTCATTTACATGTAAAGGAAGCTCGTAGTTACATTTCTAACAGTATTGTTATGATATATAATGATTATTTATGTGACTTATCCTATCATCGGGTTTCTAATTCGTTTCGCGTGTTGGATGCTCCTAGGCAAGGGGGAAAAACCTTGCTTTACAAAGTCACGTAAAGAAGAGTGGGGAACAATTCTTATTGTATGAAGTAGAAATAATATGTTATTTTCATTGTATGTAGCAGAAATAATGTTATTTTAATTATATATAGCAGAAATAATATGTTATTTTTGAAACTTTTTGTGCATAACTTTTTAATGAATAACGAGCGATAGGTGTTGGAAGTCACTCAGGTCATGACCTTGATAACATACGCCAAAGTCAAATTCATCGGGGACTGACTCCCTCCATTGGCATATTTATTGTTACGTTATTATATCGAAATAATTAGTACAATTAGAAAAATAATAATAATTGATTATTTAGGACTGGATAACGTAAATAAAATACACAATAAATAAAAAAATAATGGTCGAAATTGAATCTCACTGCTTTAAATAATTTCCTGTGAATTTATATATCACATTTGTAGTCCTTTAATTGCGCGTCGAATGGATTTTTTAGCCTTAGAAATGCAACTAAACTACTATAGTATAATATCACAAATTAAATTAAGTAAATATAGTAATATCACAAATTAAATTGATAACCAACTTAATAATTTGATGCTTAATTGGTATCATTTAAAATAAAATCTTAATGTACTGAAAATCTAAAATAAATTTATTGCGAAAAATATTACCTCGGTCGGGAATTAAACCTGGATCTCTAACATTCTGTGCGAGCGTCCTAAGCCTTTAGACGACCAAGGGTTTGGTAATATTCTTCGCAATAACCGATATGTAGGAACATACGCATTTTTCAGGCAGTGTATAAATAATAATAAATGATTTATTTAGATTATATAATGTGATATGTCACATCACATAACATAAATGCGACAAATTAAATGTTGTCGTTTTAATAAATCAAATACACATTTCGCAACTTCAGAAGATTTATTACGTACTACTCAAAATTATTCGACGCTTCAGAATGAAATGTATATTCAATGAAATCTCTTATTTCAATTGTTCGATTAATATAACTTGCGGTATAATGCATGATCTTTTTGAAGGTGTTTGCAGATACGATTTTGCAAATTCAATATATTTTCTAATAAAGTATTTTACAAAACAAGTAAATAACCGGATTAAATACTTTCATCATAAGTAAAACGTTGATAAAGGAAATAAATAAACAAAAGATCTTGATAAAAAGGAAAAAAATTTAATGATAACAGTATCAGAAATATCTGCACTGACCTTATTACTTTACTTTTATTATAAGAGATCTAATTCTTCATAATAATAAAGTTTGGAATTTTTATCTTATACTTTGTGAGATTATCCTTAAAACTGTCTCTAAAAATATCTAAAAATATAAGAATTGACTACATATATTATCGGCCATATTATTATCTTGAAATAAAAACGGACTATACCAATCTATAAATACTAATTAAAAATTAAAGATCGAATACATGGAAATTGTATTAAAAATAAATATAAAATATAAAAAGTAACAATAATAATAATTATTAAATTCATTACAGTTACTATGTTACTGTTACAAAATCAAAAAGTAATATTGTTGCCAGTCTAACAAAAAAAAAACAGTAATGGCGTTACAAGTAATTTTCATTCCTTAGTAACATATACTAAATTTATTTAAGGATATAGGCCCCTATCCTTACCTTTGCACTAGAACCCCGAAAATCTTTTGCATGGCCCTGGCAAGTTATATAGTTATATAGATTTCTAACTTGTTTCCGAGTCGTAGTTTAATCTTCAAAGAGAAAAGAAACTTAATCAAGACCTAAATGGGAACTTCCAGTCCATGGTCCAACTAATGTAGGACTATGTTCAGAAACACTCAAATGCTTCTATGTGTCATTTTATTCTTGTTTAACATTCAATGAATAAGGATAAGTTGATACATAGAGGTAAGGGAGACGGTCAGATGGTATTTCTGAACGTAGCCTAGGATATAACAAGTGGTATCGCGGTTACCTCTTTGATTTGAGGGTACTTCTTCTTGGTCTCCGAAGCAAGTACTTTGAGATCCGACTGAAGGACCTCCAGGAACTTAGAGGCATTCTCCGGATTGCTGCCGACGACGGTGGCGCTCGCCATCATTGACAATGCCACCGTTGCTCTTGTTTTTCTAGATCAGTACGACTTCCAGATGCGGGAGCATGACAACTCGATGACAGCTACCGGACTGGAGGCTGAGCGCCACGATGTTCAGTCGTCAGATGATGACCGAATTTCGAATTAACACGCTCTGCCACACCGCTCGTCGGTGACGGTGATAGCAAACAGGCAGCAACGGTCCATCGGAATCGCCTTCTCGAGTCGTCGCGCTCGCAGATCACATCGGGCGGGTCGCGGGTCGTCGCGGGTCGTCGCGGACACTCGTAAACCGCGCGCAGACCGCAGCTAACGCAACGTTGTTCTCGCTCGTACGCCCAAAATTCACGCTTCTTTAGATAATGCCAAGTCCAATGGAGATCGATACAGTACAAAATTCACGTAGTTACGACCTGGCGCAACTACGAGCCTCTCAACTGCTAACACAATTGACACCAATCAACACACAATTTGACACGATTCAACACTATTGACACAAACTCACAGACCACGTATGCAACAGCGCAGCGCTACTGCAGCTTGCATTGTCACCAGTTATTACTGGTCTAATAAGTCCAATTTCCACCGAGGGGTAAAGGCACATTTTCATGAGCCGCTTACAGCCCAGACAGAAACTGGATTGGCGACTCTGATACTGGACAATGTGATATTAAAGTATATTAGAGAGAAATCTGAAAGAGGACATGACGGCCCAAAATCTGTAATAATTTTTTCGATAGCCTTCATTTATTTATTCTAATTGATTTTTAATTTTTGGAAAAAATATAATTTCTAGTATTCAAAACACTCTTTTATGTTTGAAATTCTACGGTATACGTAACGTGAATTATGTACTAAATACATGCTAATAAAGTAAAAGCATTTGCCGAATGGATACAGGCTTCTCCATTTTCATAAAACGCACGGCCCCAAATTCCGAAAAAGACTGAAATTTTTTACGCGTAACATTTATATACCACATTCGGAAGCATCGCGTTCATTGGCTAGCATACGAGTGATGGGGTTCGCCATTTGACGGCTCATATAAATAACGCGTAATTCGCAATTTCATGTTTTTGCGACTCGAGCAGGGAACGAAGATATATCCTGTCATTTTAACATTGAAAAAGTTCGCACTGCCCTGTTCTCGAATCGATTGACTTTTATCCAGATTCTAATCTCTGCTAAATATAAAACGACGGAATCTCTTAGAATATAAAACCACAAGAACGGCACGAAAGGCTCGTTCATTGTTGGATTTCAAACAAACGAATATGATATTTAATCTTAGATTTGTTTATCATTATTTGTCGACTTGATCAGTATCTTAATCTGCTATTATGCTTGAAGTTTTATGTTTGTATTCAGAAAAAAATGTTTTATATATAATTATATATTAAAAATTGACATATATTTTCTATACAATCATATATAATTATTATAAAATATGTCTGTAATATATATAATATTGTTTCCCGGCTATTCACACAAGTATATACATATATAAAAAAAGAGAATGAAATAAAATTCAATGATGAGTTAGTATTATAAATTATATAATATTAATAAAATTATATAATATTATTGTAATAAATCAAGTAAGAACATAAATCTGTTTAAATTTTTTAATTTAAAATAATATAAAACAAAAATTCCTTTCTTTATTAATAATATAAATCAGAAAAAATATTTATATACAAAACTGCATTTTAATAAAAATAAGCTTAATGGATATAAAAAAATCATTGAAATAATTGGTTTTTAAATTAAGATTGATGAAATAAATAATAAAGAAGTAAAGAAAAAAATAAAGTTTCGTATAAACAAAATATATTTTAAAATACAAAGATTTTCATAGATTTTTTATTTTTAAATTAGTATAGGATATTCACATATTCAATATATGTGATATAAAAATAAAGAATATTTTGATACAACGAAACCTATAATTAAACAAATATTAAACAAATTATTTTCCTTAATCCCATTCCCAAATATTCATCCAAGATTAAATATGCTATAAATTGGTGCAAAGAAAAAATATGTACATTTTAAAAAATATTTTTTCAATGCGTATAAATGAAAAAATTGTCTTTCTTTACAAGAAAAAAATATAATAATGTTATTACAACGACTAACTAATCTTATCTTAAATAAGTATATAAAATGCAATACTACATATGATTAGAAATAATTAATTCTTGAGCACACACAGCATCAATTTTAACATAATAGATTGTAGCTTATTCATTTGGTTGATTGACAAAATAAATTTACAACAAATAAAATAAAATAAGTGACATAAAATCCCATAAGTTAAGTGTTCCCTCGTCGCGGAACACATAAGAACTTTTTAAATTATATTAATGTTTTTTCCATTAAAAATTTTCTATAAAAAAGATTTTCAAATAATACACATTGCAAATAGATATAAGTGATATAACAATGATATAAATGCAACTGATAAGGAGTTTGTAAGTCACAACGCAGGGTTTTTTTTCGCGCAGTATTTGGTTAAAAATTTCATGCATGAATATGTATAAACATATATAAATATGTATAAATATTCATAAACATATATAATTTTATATGAAATACGTCCGTACATGTCTTTACAACCTTTTTTTTGTAAAATTACTTTTTAGTGTAATAATGAAAATAATAACAGTAATGTGAAAACATTAGAAATAATTAAAAAGATAATTTTCGCACTATTTGTTTTAGAAAACATCAAGTTTCAAGAAATGTAAAAAAATTACTTATGTATAATTATATATAAAATTATGCATAATTATGTATAAGCAATTTTGTTATGTATAAGTACATTTTTCTAAACTTATTTTTTTCTAAAACAAACAATGCAAAAATTATCCCTTTAATTATTTTTTATGTTTTCATATTACTATATACTTATTATTTTTACATTAAAAAATAATTTTACAAAAGAAAGAAGGAACATGAATGAGCATATTTCATACATAATTATACATTACGAATATTTATGCATGTTTATGTATGTTATTATACATATTTATATATGTATATATTTATATATATGTATATATTTATATATATAGTCATGCATGAAAAATTTTTTACCGAGTAGTTATATTTAAATGTACATATATATATAGAGATAATAAATTATAGACATTTTGGCTAAAACTGGGCCATCTTTAGTATGTCAAAACGATAAGAGATAAAGTGTATAATTTAAAATAATAATGGAGTGTCAACATGATAAAAATATTATTAGCGCGATTAGTACAAAGATTTGACACAAATAAGACATATAAAATTATCTAGTCACAATAAATACAGTTATTATTGGGTCTATGATTCAATTTTGTCATTTCTTGTTCGTTATATCTTTACAATTATTTCCATTTCACATAAACATTGTGCATAAGAATTCCATAATTTATGATATTCATATTATAAAATTAAAATAAATTGCAAAATTATGAATTATATAATTAACAATTTTTTTTTAAATAAAACAATGTTAGAAATAACTTCATAATTATATTGAGTTTGAAAATATTTTTCAAAAATCAAATAGAAAACGGAAATTTATTTTATAACGTGTGTAACGTGTCTGCGGGCAGAATGATCGGTGTCGCGAATAATACAAAGATTTTTTTTATATAAATATAAATAATTGTTATACCATTACGTTAAATGTTATAAAGAAATATTTTGATTTGTAAAGTCATAACAGTATTTGCATATAGCGTGACAAAGATGAAAATATAAAAAAATAGATATATTAATTGCTATAAAAATTTATTATACTGTTTACTTTAAAATCAATATGTTTTAATGTGTCATATTTAATATGTGTTCAAGATGAAATTAAGAAATGATAAATTAACCAAAATTAAATATAAAAAATTAAATTGTATATAGGCTATGAGAAAAAGTTGAATATCAATTGCTAC